TTCTGAGAAATAAAGCCACAAAGTGAGAAGGTTTTTGTTTTGGGCATTTTTAGAGTAACACAAATTCACAAATGTTAACACGAATTACTCAAATTAATTTGTAAAGACRAATATGTTGTCTTTTTTTAAGACTAAAACTAAACAATTTTTTAAAGCAGGGGTGGGCAATCCTGGTCCTGGAGGGCTGCAGCCCTACATATTTTACATGTTTCCCTGCTCCGACACACCTGATTCAGTCACTGAACTACCTCTTTCAAGTTCTGCGGTACGGAGGACCGACACTGACATAATTAGAAATAAAAGCAGAAATAAATAAATAAGCCTTTAAATAAATAAATACATTTAAAATGCACCAAATAATAAATTAAAAAGGAGAACTTTACCTCAAAGGAAATACACTTAATATGTATTAAAAACAGTAAAATTTAAATCATGTGTCAAAATACATAGACTAATTTATTGGAACTAACCTGGAAAATAAATATGAAAGTCAATTAAAATATAAAACAGTAGATAAAGTTCTCCTTTTTTAATTTAATTGGTGCATTTTAAGTGTATTTATTTAGTAGTTCATATAATTCTGCTTTTATTTCTAATTATGTCAGTTTTGGTCCTCCGTACTGCAGAAGCCTGATAATCATCTATTCCTTCATATCAGGTGTGTTGGAGCAGAGAAACAAGTAAAACCTGCAGGGCTGCGGCCCTCCAGGACCAGGACTGCCCACGCCTGTTTTCAAGCTTGTCCTAAAACTGGACTAAAACCATTAAATATAGAAATGACTAAAACTAAGAAGTATTTTTGTTCAAAAGACTACAAATAAGACTAAAATTAAAATGGCAGTTAAAAACAACACTGCGTTTGACTTAATTACACGTTGCGTAGCCATTCTAAAAGTTCACTCAAAATTCACATTAAAATTGGATGGAAACTCAGCTACAGATACAGACTTAATTGAAACATGAAGATAAAAGGTTAAAGTTTCAACACTGCGAKCATCGTTACATGATTTTGTGGGCASACCTTAATTGTCTCTCTTCCCATCTCGTCAGAAAGCTTTACAGCACCAGAGCTGACAGCAAGAGTAAATATCACCACTATAGCWGTCATCTCAGTATGAAAAATGACTGCAGTGTGGCAGGTATTGTTGATGGTCAGAAGTGCTCTGCAAGCACACACGTGCAACCCTAATTCAACCTGAATGTACTTTCCTCAGAAAAGAAAGCATTTAAAATCACATACAGCCTTAAAACAATTACATAACATGTTCAACAGCAATTGTTATTTGTAATTTATTGTGACATGTGTACCTCATACTCTGATACTAATGGAACAAGTACAACACTGCTATATATTCATATTAATGTTTAAATTTTGACCTTATGCTTACAGCTTAGAACAGCGAATGTAAAATAATTTCTAAAGAGATATTTTTTTCATATGTTACAGGATAAAGAGTTTTTTAGTGAAATATATTGGAATCTTATGATGCAAGTAACAAAGAATGTCCATGGTTTGTGAAAATCGAAAAAATACAGCGTTCGTACCACAAGGAAATGTACTGTATGTGTGRATCTGTGTGTGGTMTGGTGTGAGTTTATGGAATGGGTTCAATATTGAAKTGAAGCCGTGCAAACATATAAATCAGTTTAAGAAAAAAAAAGTAATTTTGGTTTGTTATGATGGACGAGCGATGTTGATGACATCAGGAGATGTGGTGAAACAGAAATGAGATTTGGGTGTTAAATAAGCTTTTATTGTGAAATTCTGCTTTAATTGAGATAAATATATAAATAAAGCAAGGAAAAAAATAATAAACCTACTCCTTTTTACACACATTATCTTGTAAATTGGCCAAAATGTATATTTATGCATGTTTAAAAACATTTTTGTTGTTCTTCGTCTATTTAAAAAATATTCTATTTTTAACAGCACTGCGAGTTTARAGTATTSACTAAATATGCTGACCACAGTGAKTTTCTGATTGAAATTATGGGAACGMTTTAATCACTGAAGCACAAGTCCTAAAAGTCCAACTCGTCTTTATTCAAGTAAAATCTGGAAAGACCTTTAGTTTAATGCTCCACTTCTCACTCAATGATCCTGCTATAAAGCTGCATTTGAATCTCTCTTCTACCTCCTGATTTTTATGTTTTACATTCTCTTTTCCATCATTAACGACAGTATAAAAAGTGCTGAATGGACTTATTAAGATTTTTTTTCTACCAGCCATTTTGCAAGTGATAAAATATTAAAAACTTTGGCTAAACTGATAAATGAACTGCAACAATTGTGATTAGTGTAAWATTAATGTTCAAAATGTTTAGAGTGAGTTCAAAAATTAAAATACTTTTTGTCTGTAACTTAAAAGAAGACATTACGCTATATTATAAATAAATAAATAAATAAATAAATAAAT